AAGGCTAAGTTAAGAGAATGGCTTGCACAATGAACGTATAAAGCTTGTGGATACATCTCCTTAATACGAGCTGCACACCCTTGCAACTTTCCGCTCATTGAAGACGCGCCATCATATCCTTGACCTTTTAAAAACTTCAAATTTAAATTTAATTCTTTGCAAGTATTGATTAATTTATTTGATAATCCTCTTCCAGTGACGTCATCAACTTGCACAAAAGTCAAAAAGTCTTCTCTCAAAACTAGTCCTTGCTCGGTTTTTTCTAAATATCGGGCACACAGTGATAATTGTTCAACCCCGCTAACGTCTGGAGTTTCATCAGCTAATATGCTGAAGCATTCAGACTTGTTGATCTTAACAACAAGCTCTTTTAAAATAGTCCTTCCACAAATTTCAATGAGCTCATTTTGGATTTGAGGACTTACGTAGCGGCTTTTAGAAGCGGCTTCCTTTCGAGCAAAATGCTGCCTTAGACTTTCATCCCCCGCTGCCATTCGAAAGCGCAGTAGAGATCTAAAATTTCCATCATTGTGGCATGGAGCTTTCATCGTTATCGGTCCGGAGTCACAATGACCACGGCAAGCTAATTCTTGTTTGCCTATTAAAATTATAGTTTCGATGATTGATGTTAACACTTTTCTATTTTCTTTAATTGTGACTTGTTTCGCAGTGTCAAGTTGAAGATGTACGTTAGGAATTTTATTTTCATTAATGCTTATAAAATGTTGCCCAGACACGCATGCATTTTTGTGATAGTCTAAATTTTGATGATAATTAAACTTCTCTTTAGCGTTTTTCCATTTATTAAAAGGCTTTTTCACAAGAGAATTTGGCACTGTATGGCTCCCCTTACCTACTTCTTCACTACAGAAGAAAAAACAATATCGACAAAATGCACCGTCCAAATTTCCTGAATATTCTAACCAAGGGAATTCTAACAGCCATTTTCTTTGAAATTTTAATTTTCTTTTTCCACTAGTAGGAAACTTAAATGATTCATTTGGCATACAACGATTTTTTAAAATTTCCCATTTTTCTTCATCAGTGTATTTTTTACTATGCTCTAAACGCGAAATATCTTTTAACATCGGATCACTTCCACTTTCGATAACTGATTCATTTAAAACTGCAATGAAAATTATGTTTTTAATGAAAATGTGAAACAAAGGAAAGTTTTAAAAATTAAAGCAAATTTGAAACTTGAAAATATAAAAAAAACTTTCAGTATTGAATAAGAAAAGCCGTTCATACGATTCGCATTTAAAATTGCTAACAAAGTAAATAATCACCTCAAAAACGAAATGGGCAAAGCTGTTAGAAACGGAAGAAAAGAAGCACTATTTATGTATACGTTTGAAAAAAAAAACGATTTGTAACGCTTATAATTTGGAAAAAATATTTGATGGGTAAAAAAAATGTTTATAATTTTGTTTCAACTCGATATTTAAGTGTATAATTGAAGGAATCTAGAATAGAACTATACATATTTATAAGAATAATTGAAATGTAAAAAAAAAATATTCTGAAAGATAATTCTTTCAAATATGTAAATGTTTATTATATACGATTATTCAATTATTTTATATCTTTCGGCATGTCCAATATGAAATAATTTTAAATCAAGCAAATAGAACAGAATCAAGTGTAATAAAATAATTTAAAGTCAACAAAAAAAATATTATTTTTATTTTGCTTTTCTTTATGCTGAGGAAATTAAAATTTATAATAATGAAAATTCTCTTTTCAAGAAAATACGTTATTAGCAAAAATCAGAAGAAAGTTAAACTGGAATAATAAAATTTGACAAAAAAATATTGCTTACCTGCTGTTTTTGAGTTATTTCCTGAACTCGAACAACATTCCATATTAGTGAAACAATCGTTTATCGAAACGGAGTCAATATCTTTGTCATTATTTGTTTCAATTCTTGGCCTTTTAATTAGCCAACGATCCATGATTATAATCGAAAGAATCAATCACTAACATAAACTAAAATTCTTTTTTCCCATCTCTTTTATTTTTACCCCCTAACGCTGGAGATTGGTTGAGACAGCGGCCTTGAAATTGATCTCGTCAGCAATATTACTCGCGTGGTCACGTGTAAAATGAAAAAGAAACTAACAATTGTTTTTTGCATAGATGAAGAATATTGATACTATTTTTATATTTATTATTAATTTTTATTTTTATTATTAATTTTTATTTCTTTATTTAAAAAAACACTTGTAAATTAAATTGTATTTATTTTTATAGAGTTGTCCATTTTGATTAAACAAGTTACGAATAATTTCGGGGGGGGTTTGTCCCCCCCCCAAAACTACGCCACTGTATATATATATATATATATATATATATTGGGTACTCATTAAGGAATATCCTGTATATAGCAAATGCTTTTAATAGGATGTAAAGACAGAATGGCTTTTAATTTCTTACTGCTTCCAAAAGAGAGAGGTCCTTGCAGACTCTTTTTGAAAATTCAAATGTGTCCCCACCAGTCTCAGGTGCTACTCTGGCATAGCAAATTTTTGCTACTCTTTGTTTCTGAAAAAAAAAGCGTTAGATTTAAGTGCACAATGTTGAGGTAAAATATTTTAATAGCGTTGCAAATTAAAACTTATTATTTTAATTCCAGGGATTTATTATATTGTTAGATTATTTCTAGTCATAATATTTCATAAATTTTCCTTTAATGGTGAAAATTAGAAAAAAAAAGTTGTAATGTAGTAATCTGGGGAAAACTCTTTGGGTATTTATTTCTGTAAGTGAATAAATAAGAGTTAAACTACAAATATTCGAAATTTTACATTTGATAATTTTTTTACCATAAAATGAAATATTCTTCATTAATAATTATAAAGAATAATATTGCAAATTGGTTTATTGCTATATTTCACTCGTGGAAACAAAACTGCTAATTGTAGTAAATATCAGAATAAAATCAGTCAATCTGCTTTGTGTATGTAAAGCCAGAATCTGAACTTCAACCATTTGTATGAAAGTTTTTTGATTACATCAATTTAATTTCTTATAACACTCAAATCTAGAGGTCTAGAGGGCTCTACTAGCATAATTATAATCGTTTACACTATATAACACTTGTATTAGGTGCATGATTTTTGGTCATACTAAGGTTTGATGATAAGTTTCATTAGCAGCCTTGGAATAGTTAAATAGATTTTGATATTATAAAGAACGCAATCATACTTTTGAAATGATTAAATGCATTATAATAATTAGTTTTAAATTAAGCAATATTTCTTTCAAATCCACTTCAACACTTTAAATGTAATATTATTATATAACAGAGAAGTAAAGATGCTCAAATTTACAAAGAATATCTCTAACATATAAAAATACTTATAGCTTAGCTTTTAAAATCTCTTGCTATCTATTAGACTGAGTGGCACAAATAATTTTTAGACAAGGTAAATAATATTTTAATTTTAAAGCAAATATTTTATTTGAAAAATGGGCTTTGCTTAGATACAACCAGCATTAAGTGGTGCAGATAGCTGCAATCACTGTTAACGTAGAAGGCGGTACCAGCATAAGACAGTATATTTTTTTGGGTTTTTTTTTGGGCAGAACTTTCGAGCATAATGAAACGGCCTGATACACAACAATAAACTATTAATCTAGTTCCGTCTTAGTATTTTTAGTTATGAGTTATAATATAATAAATCATGTTATTAATAATCGAGAGATAAATATTATTCATAATGTTATTATCTCGGTTATTTTGAAATATTATTCATATTGTTTAATTTTATTTATTATACTAATCTGTTATACTGATATATTACACTAATATATTATACTAATATATTATACTAATATATTATACTAATTGAAACGAGCCTCATAATTTTTTTTTAATATTATGCGTATGGCATTGATTTTTAAAGAACAGGAATTATAAATTAATGTTTTATTGAAATCCCTAAAACAATATAGAAAGTGTTAGTGACATTTCTTAGTTATAGTCCATTATTATTATAATAATATACAGTTAAAAGTAATAGACACTTCTGTTACATAGTTGTGAAAGAGACGAAGGTAGACCTTCTTGAGACGCCAATTTTAAGTATCGCCAAATACTAAAAAACAAATATTCTGAAATATTTATTAAATGTTTACACAATTTATCACATGGAAAAACCTACCCGTTTGTTAAAATATTTTATTAAGTAATGACATATGATGGTATATAGTATAACAAATCACATTGTAAATTTCATCGAATTTAATAGCTTTTCTACTTAGTTTTTATCTGCACGTAAAAGTCTCGACGGCTATCATAATAGTACATAGTGTAATTACTTACTGTAAAGATATCGAATGAACCAAGTTTTAAAAATTGATATTCATGCTGAAATAATATTTAGGTAGTAGAGAGATTAAGTAATACCCTCTTTTCTGCTGTTAAAAAGTCTTCAGCCTAAGGCCTTATCATTTAACAATAGAGATAGATAAACAATAGATTTAACAATAGATTTAGAAATACCATTTCAAACCAAAGCTTTCAAAGTTCATATGTCCTGGAGTAACTGAGCACGCGTAGTTTGAAGAATATGTCTTAAGCATGCGCAGTTAACAAATGTTCGCGAATTTGAGGGGATGTGAATCGGTATTGCTAAATCTCTCTTTAGCTAAAAGAAGGGACTAATAAAGGTTATCTTTGATATCTAATTGACATTTCCATTTTATTTATGACTGAAAGTTACGACTTTAGATTTAAAACATTTTAACAAGAAGGTCAATTTATGTAAATAAGAGTTTCTTTGTCAGTACCGTAAAATTAGATTTTTAGAGCATGCTTTCATTCTTTCGTTTGTTTTTTAAATGTTTTTAATTCTTTTAACTGGTTTATGTTCTGAGAATGTTTTCTGTACGTAGTTACTTACATTGTCTGATCCAAATGAATCTTCACACAGTGCCAAGTCCTTCAGCAGATTATCATTGTTTTTAGCTATAGAAAATAAACGAGTATTAATAAACAGTCAATTAAAATAAACAGTGCATTGAAATCGAGAATTAATCTTCACTATTACGTTTTGCGTAACATTTATTACATTTTACATTTACATTTTACATTTACATTTCACATTTACATTTTACATTTACATTTTACATTTTGCATTTACATTTTACATTTATATTTTACATTTACATTTTACATTCACATTTTGCATTTACATTTTACAGTTGCATTTAACTTTTACATTTTACATTTATTATTATTATTTTTCACGTTAAATTTTTTACACGTGTAAGTAGTTCTTAGTGTTTTTTTAAAATTTGTTTGTTGAAGATCGTTTCTAATAGTTGGAATCCATTTGTCAGTCATGAATTCAAAAAAGCCTACTAATTAATTATAATAAGAAAACTCAAAATTTGGAGATTTTTACCTGCTTGCAAATTACTAAGATATCCATCTCTTACCGAATTACTGTTTTAAAAATTACGGTTTAGTAAAAAAAACCGTTTCCAACAATGCAAAATTTTCTTGTTAAAATACTGTAATGCAGAAAATACTTATACCGCACATTATCTATATATATATATATATTGGCGAGCGCTAGCGAGCAGGGGGCGCAACCCACTAGTTTGTTCTAAAAGTTTAAGAAAAATGACTTTCCCAACAATATTGATTTTTTCACGTTGAATAATAAAGAATATGGGTTTAAGTCTTACTATTTGTTATATAAGTTTTGATTTAGAAAAAAAGAGGCTTATTAGCTATGCAAAATTTTCATATTGAATTACAATATTACATAAACAAGCACACATTGATTATGCGAACTCTGAGTTAGAACAAGTTTCTTTTTTTTTAACAATATAAATTTTTCATGTTGAAATAATTATAATACAAAAATAACAATTACCACAAATTGCTTTTACAAATTTTAAGTCGTCATCAGCTCTTGATAATGTTACTAAAGAGATAGCGCAAACTGCAAGAGTGAACCAAAGGTTTGCCATTTTTAAATGTCCCTAAAATAAAATATTTATGATAAAAGTTATCTACTCGAATGTTGGGTTATTTAGCGTTCGAAATGGCACAAATAATTACATGCTTTTTATAGTTCTTTTGCTAAAACTCCAATTTTCAGCAAAATTACGAAGCGAGCAACAGCGATCATGAGAGGGACTCTTCTACTGCATCGATAAGGAAATAAAAAAGAGTTTAAATGAGAAATGTTGGGGGTATTTAAATAAAATTTGGGCAAGACGAGCTAGAGATGTGGCTTGCAAAGAACACGTAAGCACTTCCTGGAGGGGGGAGGAAATAACAGGCAAGGGTTGAACGCTTTAGTATTTTTTTTAAACAAGGCTCACGCATAAAACGCATTTCAGCACAAACGCATTTAAAACACATTTCAGCTTTATTACGAGTTACTGTCGTCCATCGGATATAACAACCCCTTTTGGCCAAGCAAAAATGGACGTTATAAAGTGAGATCGTTACATCATGAGATAATTTTTTCGATAATATTTACTCAGATGTCAAGAATACTAGTTCTTGACCACTTTAGATAAGAACCTGGGAAACTATGATATAGAACAGGGGTTTCCAACTTACATGAGGCCGGGTACCACAATTGAAAACACAAATCAAATGGTGGACCGTAACTTTATCATAATTTTATGTAGGACTCTTTTATGTTTGAAGGAACATTAAATAGTAGTGTCAGATTTTTACCAAGTTGTACAAAACAAAAGTACTGAATAACAAATTAAAATAAGAAGTAGATTTTTAAAAATATTTAGTTGCATATTAATAATATTGTTAGAAATATTAAATAAATAATAAAAATTCGGGCTGCAATAACTTTAATATGCACTTATGTGTTAAACAATTAATGTGCGACAGATATATAATTGTTATGATATAAAACTTTAAAAAAGTTGGCATTAAAATTTTCCTAGTAGCACACAAAATATTCGATGAGAAAATTCAGGTTTGTCTACTGCAACCACCAGAGAATAGATATTTACATTTTAAATTCAAAATTTACAAATGAGTGTGTAAATATTTTCGTCCAAAATGAGTGGTTTAAAGAAGTTAAATCGGAGAATTTCTTCGAGAAAATTTCTAATATGCACATGCAAAATTATATTCCCAAAATACAAAAAAACGAAATAAAAAAGAGCAACATACACGATTATTTTTGTATTTGAATAAATATTTTCTTGGATGCAAAACCAGAGAAATAAATTTATTTGCTTCGTTGGTGTGTTAAATTTCACAGAAACGAAGAAATTAGGTTTTTATTAACGAAAAAAGTATTTCAAACCCATATAGATAAATCGTCCGCAAAAAAATGTCTAATAATATATATTAATTCGCGGGCCACAAAAAAAGGCTTCGCGGGCCGGATGCGGCCCCCGGGCTGCCAGTTGGAAACCCCTGATATAGAACGATTGCTTCACTCTCCTTCTTTTAAAAGGAAATGTAAGATGTTTTACATTTAATATGCGATAACATTAAGAGAAAAAGTATTTAAGTAATTTCCTTGGAATTTTTTTCGGAATGAAATCATTAATTTTCAGAAGAAGCATTTGTTTTGAAAGCAAAAAGATGTTTCACACATTTTTAAAAGTGACTTTAATGGGAATGAAAAAAGGAACTAAATTTTGGTCGCTACATTTGATTGAACTGTTTAATGAGGAAGCTTCAATGGGCTCTAAACTAGCATTACAACTGTGGCGTTGAAAACGAGACTTAATGTATCTGTCATTATAATGGAAGAGAGGCCATACCAAATGGCGTAGGTTGGAGTAAAATAAAAAGCAGTATACATTAGATTGACGAAGCAAATATTTGTATTTTTATCTTTTATAGATATTATATTATAAAATATATTCAGAAATATTACTTACCTGTTTTTTTCCTTCTAAACGTGACAACTAAGTTGTCGTGTCGTTTTTTATGTAAAGTAATGTAGATAACAATAATCTTAAAATTTTCTTTAACTAAAAAAGGTTATTTGATTAAAAGATAAAATGCAGCTTTTTTTATTTAAATTGTTTCATCTAAAAGCAAAGGCTAATATTTTGTGATTAGAAACCTGTAAAACGTGGCTATTTTCCCACGCTTTTCATCTCTGAGATTCTAACATTAAACTACTACATTTTAAAGATAATAGTTATGGCATAATTATTTCATTAGATATTATAAAATCAACACAATTCTTTAAACTTACTTAAAAAAATATTTTAAAAAAATATTTTGAAAAAATATTTTGAAAATACTTTAAACAAATTTAATATTATTTTTGTATGAATTCAATAAAAATGTTTTCTAAAGAATAAACAGCTAAGTGAAATAAAAAAATAGTGGAAAAATTAAGCTTTGAGTTTTAATAATTTCGAAAATTAACATAAACTTTCATATTATAACCTATGTCATAATTATACATACTTGTTGAATAGATTTTGTTGATGATTATCTGAAAAATTCTTCCATAACTGAAATGTCACACATACAATTATTAGTCACACATATTATTTACAAATAGCTTAATGGATTAGATTATTTTAAGAAATTGAGAAAATCATTACTAAAATATTTAATACCTTTAAATGATATGACCAAAGGCTTAGGAGTAAGAAACGTACGTAAGTACTCGAAGTCAGAATTTTTCATAGCGCCTATCTATCGACTTGATGCATCCAAGAGACTGCCAAAGTGATGCATACCTCAAAGCAGCATTTTTTTTTAAAAAACCGGTTGAATTCGCAACTCAAATCACTCATGTCTGATAGACTTTATAATCAAACATGAAGTACATGTTTGATTTACTTTATGAAGTTTGAAATTAGAATCTTGACTGGGATTTAATTTACGTCAAGCAAATTTCTTAACTAAGAAAATAAAAAATGTACATTTTTCTACTATTGTTTCGATGTAAAAAAAATATGGGCTACATTAGGACGCTAATTGTATTTAAGATAATATTTAAATCTGTGTAAAATCAGTATTGGTAAATCGTATGAAAGATCTCGTATGAATATATTACCGTTATGGTTCTATTAGGATCTATTTGTAAACGTAAGGTGTAGGAGTAAAATAAGAGTAAAATATGAAGAATAAATTTACAAGTAAATGCCCTTAAATTTGGATTATAAAAATATCATGCAGGAAAACAATACCTTTATGAATTTCGTAACTTTATTTTGATGACAACTAAAAAATATGGAAATTAAAGTGGGAAAACTGGTTTCTATCATACATGGTTTTCCTGCAATAAAAATGCACCGACAATAATAGAAAACTTCGCCATCTTTTGATTTTTATATAGAGTTAATAATACTAAACCAAACTCAGTGGCGCGCAATGTGCCCATCTCAGTTTTCTTGACCTTGCGCTACTCTCAGCCACCGGGCGTCTGGAGTTAATGATAATACATTCTAAATTAATGATTCTTGCTTTGAATTGTATTTTAAGAATAGCTTTACTGATTTTTATGTGTATCTTTTCTTAGTGTAACGTTGAACTTGAGAATTACTGTAATTACATTAATGTAAATTTAGCATTACTGTTCGTAACTGTTTTCTTGCTGTAATAAAAAAAAAAAAGGTGTGGCGACAATTTTATACTAAGCATTGTAAAAAAAAAATACTTGGATCTTTTTTTTTGGATCCAGGTGTAGTGAAACACCTAGAATCATAGCTCAGGGAATAGAGCGCTCACCTTCCAATGAGGTGATCCGGGTTCAAAACTCGGCGATGACTGCTCGATACGAATTCCACTTCCGGCTTGCACCGACCACACAGAGCTGACGTAAAATATCCTCAGTGGCAGACGGATCATGGATTAGAGTCCCTATTCCATGAGGCTATCCGTGGGAGGTTTTCGTGGTTTTCCTCTCCATGCAACGAAAATGCGGATTGACTCCATCAAAAAGTCCTTCAAGGAGGCAAATTTCTCCGAATACTTGATCCAAGAGTTCCCTCGTCTTTTGGATTGAGTTCAAGATTACAAGGTGACGGAGTTGAGCATTAGTAGTCGTAAAGCCGAAAATTGGGCCGGCTGTTCAAGGCCGGTTATAGAATAAAATAAAATACACTATTTTCGTTTAAAGTAGACGACCAACGATCATATTTTGACGGTGAAGTACACTAAGATTCGTCACACTATCATTTCTTTACAAGTCATTACTTTGCATTGAAAAATATTTTTTTCAGAATTTTGATTTACTCTAATATACCATTGAAAAAAAATCTGAAATATTCGTATTATCCTTATGATTACTGTCGCTAAACTGACTTTATGTAATGTTTTTGTAACAATTGATTGCACATTTCCAAGCGTCTTACATACATTATGTAACTGTATTGCATGACTAAAACTTTTTAAAGGTTCCAATGTTTATAAAATGAATACAATGTTAAAACTGTAGAGTAGTTCTTCTCCGAAGTCGGAGTTGTAAAAAAATTGTATTAATTAATACTAATTATGCTTATAATTAAAAAAAACTAATTCTAACTTTTTTATGCAACATCTCATGCCATTTATTTTCACGCATTTGAATTAGTTAAATGATAGAAACTGAAAATAGCCTTATTTGAGTACAATCTGATTACAAAATTCATCATATATTATTATTTTTCAGAAATTTTTTTTTTAAAAAAGTAGTTAAAAATCTCAAACAAAGACTCTCATTGTTTATCGATAGTTAATATCTATTATTTATAACGCCAATTGGTCATATGCTTGCTAAAAAAATTAACTATAAACACCTTTGAAACGTTGATTGTGGTAACAAACATATCCCTGCCGCTGACCCCAACACACTTTAAAAGATGTTTAGCATATAGACATAGTTATTATAAAGACTTTATGCATAATTCAATTTTAAGAGAGACTGATTGGACAGTAGAGGTTCTAATCGTTATTTTGTGCAAAACAGAGCACGCAGACGCATGTTAGGTTTACAGACACCGAGTTTGGATATAGTATTTCCTGAAGGTAAGTAAAAATTATGATTATGAATTATTAGGGTTAATTAGACAAACTTTATACTTTCACCATTACATTACATTCGCTCCTTCTGAATAAAATCAAAAATTTCTTTAATCCATGTTTTTTTTTGAATAAAAAATATTGAATCTCATTAAATGAAGCTAAACATTTGTATTTCGTATTAGGCCTAGTGAATTGTACTGGTATAGCTCATACCATTATTTTAAAATGCTTTAACGCAATGAAAGTCAATGAAAGTCTGATAAACGTGTCTATATGATCTTAGTTTGTTGTTTTATCTGCAAAACTGAGTTCGCTCAGCAGCTAATTTTTAGACATTTTATGAAGTTTCCAGAATAATCATGTTATACTGTGAGACGCTAACTTAAAAAATTTCCTTTCAGTGAATAGAAAGAAAGAAAAAAAAATTATAGCATTCAACATAGATCATATTTTGCTTTTAGAAAATTTAAACATTATAATAGTCTAGTTCGCATTGCTGTTGAATAATGAATCGAAATCACGAAAAATCATAATAATTCAATGTTATTTTTTCAACAAGGGAGGTCGTAAGAAAAATTCAGTTCTCTGAAGGTTAAATAGTAGCAAGACAAATTTCTCTTCCTTTTCTTCTAATTCTCCATTTTTAAAAAAATTATTAAACCGAAGAGTTCATACGGTCTATGAAAATATTAAAAAGGGGTGGCAAAAGTAAGAAAATGAGATTATAACAGAATTTATGGGTAACAAAATAAGTTTATACCCACCTTCAGGCATAATATTTTCATATAAATATGTCAAGTTGTGAAATGTGTGGGCCTCTGTTTTAAATTTCTATGTTATAGCTGATTAATAGAAATTTTCAACTTTTTTATTGCAATATTAGCAGCATTTTGAAAATTTATTAAGGGGTGTACAAACCCTAATGAATAGAGTTAATTAAAACGTAATGCATGCTAATTTTGCCTTTATCTTAGCATTGTTTAAACTGGTTAAAAAATAATGTAAATAAATAGAAGGAAATATTTTATAAATTATATAAAATCATTTAATTATAAGATTTGCAAATAGATTATAATAGCACGGAGAGACCAAATGGTTCGTATTTTCAACTTCAATTAAATGAAAAAAATGTAATTATTCTCCTTAATGTTAACTTCTTTTTATTATTTCATCATAAAATATCCTCCCACTTTTTTTTTATTTATCGAAAACTAAACTTGCTCGTATACTAATGCTTACTCTAGCATATTTAGTATACTAAAATTTGTACACTGATTCTAAGAAATCTTTGACTGGGTTATATGCTACTCACTTTTAAGTGTGAAAGAAGTATTTCTTAAAAGGAAGGTACTCAGAATGTCACAGGCTGGATTTTTTAACATAATTTTTAGGGTTAGGAAACCTCTCTAAATTCAACTTATCCTTATAATTTTGCTATTACCTAATATTTTTTTTGAGGCGCGAACACTTAGAAACTTGAAATTACAAAGAAGTGTTGAAAAAAGTTCAGTAAGTAAGACGGAACAAAAAAATTTTAACATTTGATAATTAATTCAAGAATTATTTACCGTTATATTTATAGTAAAATATATCATGCGTGCCTCAGAGGAGTTTGAATTCGACAGGTTGAAAATGCTACTTCAATTCCTGAACCTAATGCAAGGCTTTTATTTTTAAAATATCAATTTGTTTGAAATTTGTTTAAATTATACATGCTTTTTTATGCTTTTTCGAAATTTTCTCTCTCTTTTTAACATAAAATAATGACTATTTATCCTTTGTTGCAGAAAAATTTATTAATCTTCCTCGAGATCTTCCTTTTACATATTCGCATTTGATTCGATGTTAAAAGCAACGTCAAAAAAGGAATAAATATTGTAAATAAATGAGATATAGAGAGCTAGAATAGATGTTTTCAGTTATAAATCTAAACATTTACATCGAAATTTTCTAAAATATAACAGCCTCAAGACAGATTAAAGAAAAGCAAATATGTTTTTAATTTGAACTAAAATATGATGTAAGGATAACGTTTTACATTGTTAAT